ATTTGAAAATGTATTTTCTCTTTAATGTCAAATAAATAAATAAATTAAACTTCACACATGCCATGCATGACCTATGTGTGAGTTAATTAAGACATATCATAAAAAAGGGGACCTTAATTTATAACATTATATAACAAAATATACCAAGATATAACAAGATACCATAACACAACCCCTTATAAACCAAGAAACCAAATGCCAATCTAGTCACCCTCCTAGGGATCAGCGCCCAACTGGGCAGTGATCCTAGAGTGAGGCGTGAGGTGCCGCATGGCAGCCCTATGGCCACTCGGACGCCACATGGCACTACCAGATCAGGAGTACAATGGATTTTGAGTCAAACAATTTGAAAACCCTCATTTTGTTTAGCAAATAAAATTCCAAAAAATTCTTTAAAATTCACAATAAATATTTAAAGTATTTTTGAACGATTAGTAGGTTTTTCTCATCATTATAAAATCGGAAAAAAGGTATAGTGAGATCTCAGGTTAATAACTATAGGTATAGAAGTACTCCATTGGGCTAGTTCCGAATGATGTTCTGTCGAATCTCAGATCAACCCAATAGACTTATGTTCCATAGTCTAAAACAAAGATACATAATTGGCCATATAAAAAACATTGAGCCAGAACTTTTGATTATTCGGCTCTCAATGGATTACATGTGTACCCCTTTGGGACATGATCTAACTCAATTACAAGGGTCATCTCAAAGCACATGTGCACTGGCCCTTCCAAACTCGGATAATGCATTTGGAAGAGTGGCTTCCCGTAAGAAATGGAAATGTACATGCCATGCAATGGTCTCGTGTCAGGATATTGACTTATATCTCATAAGTCTTGACCATTCCATATATGGCAAATATTCAATAAGTACTCCGATTTTATTTATCTCGTTTGGATTCTCCAAGCCCTGGCCGATTGTAGTTAAACATGAGGCTAAATTATAAAATCATGACTAGGAGGTGACCCTCACACCTCCTTGAGAAATTGCTTTCTCAACACGTAAACTTTCGATGCCTCATACGTACTTGGGTTAAATAATCTGGGTTCCATTTCGCAAGACTCCAAGATTTCAATCTCTCAATCGCTCCCACTGAATGAGAGACTACTAGAATTTAGGCCTTGATAGGCCATATTTCCAACATTCTCCCACTTGGCCTTTTGAGGCTTGAAT